TGGTGATAAAGGGCTCAGCCATCTTGGATTCTGAACTCGGGATCCTCTGTGCGGCTCCGAGATATTTCTCGGATCTCTGAGAAACGGGAATCCGACTCGGAACACGAGTTCCGAGGTCAAATGGAATTAGGGCTGGGCGATATCATATCGATTTTATATCGCGCACGCGCAATAATCACTAGGGCTTCAGATGACAGGGGCAACATTTGGCAGTGCGCCAGCTTTTCTGTGCTATACGGACATTTATTTACGCCCACAATTTAAGCAGCTTAGTATGGCTAAATTATTAATGAGGCTTTGTATCAGAGCATGTGAGCGCAGTGGAGCAGTGAGAATTTAAGCTCCTCGCCACGAGGCTGTTGGCTCCGCCCGCTTCTCCGTTCTAATTCGCACTAAGCCGTTCTGCTCAACACCGCTCCTCATATGGAGTAAGATCGCTGTCAAAAATAACTCGTAAAAATGTACGTCAAATGTACGTTTCACAAGTGTAAATTACGCTTGCGCCTCTGAAAATTACGCTTGCTTCTAAAATTTACGCTTGCGCTTCTGAAAATTACGCTTGCTTCTAGAGTTGGTTATTATTTATTATAATATTGTACTGACCAGACAACATGCGTAACTCAAAAGAGCACTTTAATGTACCCTGTACGGCCACAGCTCACACCAAACTCGCAAAAGAACAGGATCCAACAGAAAAAGAACAGCAACACTTAATGTTCCCCAGTAGCCTATATATAAGGTTGTGCGGAGCCCGCCACTTTTCTTTTTATCCACTCCGCAGGTACCCCACATTCCCGCTATCTCCAAACCCCCCGAGATTGGCTGAAAAGGGGTGGGAGGACTGCCCTATAATAAACATTAAATAGTCCTAGTCCTCTAGCCGCTACAATATGTTGTGACTGTCTTAATTTCTGTCATTGCAGAAATGTGTATTTTGGAGAGTATACAGAGACCTGGAATGTCTATATATATATAAGCAAATATCAAACAAAACTTAATAACTACTACATGCCCGTGAAGTGGTTTGTGCTCACTGAACCCTAAGCTGTATGAAAAATCTTATTCTTATGAAAACAAAAATATAAGTGTTAGCCATAGCTACAGTACACTTTATTATTTATCAGAAAATAACACTGTGTACTTAAATGTCCATCTCATATACATGAGACTATTAACAGCTTAGCCTGACACATTACTAGACAGCAGCAGTGACATACTTCTGCATAATAAATAATAACCAACTATAATTAGTACGAATAAAGTATAACATACTTTACCTTAATTTTGTTACATTCTGTACACCGAGAAAAAGTGTTGTGCAACAACAAGTAAACTAATGGGTTGGTTGTCCATCTTTCCAGCTTTGCGGCACATGCGTAGT